AGCTGCGGGATACACTCCACGAAAACGGATACCCAGAAAGATTTATCCTTCGAAATATAGGGGAGCGCACTGCAAAACCTACCATGGCAACTGCAGAAAAGAAGGACTTATTTATAAGATTGCCTTTTCAAGGAGACGCAGCAAGTGAACTGGTAAAAAGACGTCTGAAGACAACGATCACTAGCGCTTTCCCCGCGGCGAACTTACGTGTGTGTTTCACTAACTCTCCCCTCCTACGCTTGGGAGGTAAAGACCGACTCCCGTTGCAGGCCACATCGATCTGCATTTATTCATTCGCTTGCTCCTGTGGAGCGGGATACATTGGCCGTACAACGAGGCGCTTGGGAAAAGAGAGTACGTGAACACATACCGGCCTGGCTAGGCAAAGGTGAGAAGAAATCGATCTCGAGTTCTATTCTCGCACATCTTGTCGATACGAATCACCGAGTCGATGCCAAAGCAGCCTTTCAGATTGTCTACCGGACACCCGCAGGTTTCTCCAAAGGCCTACGCCAACGGGTGCTAGCTACAGCTGAGGCAGGGGCTATACGGCTAGCCAATCCAGTGCTATGCTGTCAGAAGACTCTGACACAGGCGCTCTGTCTTCCGTGGCCGACGCCGACCCCAACGTCGCCCCAACCTCCTGATGCCAGGGTGGGTGCACAAGGTACACGACGTACTCACAGCCTATGCCCCCCCCCCCTCTTCCTCGCCCCCTGACCCCAATGACCACGACACGCCGACCACGCCATAGCACGCCTCGTCATGCGAGTGGCGGGGGAACGATCGATGTTAATTGTCCCTGAATCATTTATAAGTCATGTAATTCGCATAACTTAAACTTCATTGTAACCGTTTTGGCCCGATGAAGAGTTACTGAAAACACGTGTTCGCCAGTTTGACTTTTCAATAATAACTCATTTTGTTTGCACAATCAACTACTGCTATCTGTATTCCCAGTTTACACCTCATCAGATTATACCTTATTCTCTACCTAACGTTTCTCCTTCCCTCGTGTATAGATGAGTATTATGGAATGTCCATGGCTCTATTTAGATCGGTCTTAATCAGGATATCTTCTTAGTCCTTCGCTACATCGGGGTGTGATATCCTTGATATCCTCGGCCACTACGTAAAATTTAATTACTGTCATAATATCACTGTCTTTATTTCAGTAACGGTTGTTCTTGGTTTACTTATGGTCACAAGTCCATTGAACACGAATGTTGACGTTAACTTCGTATCCCTCAGATAACTGAGATCGTACCAATTCTTTACAGCACAATTAGGCTTAGACTGACTACCGTACAGTGCATTGAGTAATGTTAGTGTTTTTGACCATTTAATATTTCCTTTATCTGTCCGGGAGGACGCGCGCAGGGAAAGGACGCTTAGCTCTGACACAAGCAAACAGACAACGGGAATAAGGCAAAACGCATCCGGGACTGCATTCTCTTCCTAAAAGATCGCCAGGGAAATACGTTGTCTGAAAACTCAGATAAGGCGAACCTGTTGTCCAACTTCTTCACTTCTGTGTATTGTAGTGGACAGCGATAGTGGCTGCGTCGCGCCTCTCGCTAGCGCCCGCACCTACGTCCTAGCGCCAACCTGCTACAACATGCACATCTGCCCGTCTTCGATTTGTCTCGTTGCAATTCACTGTCTGCACCACGCACCTGGTCGATTCTCTGTCTGCACCATGCGAGGCTTCTCACTACCCTCGTGTGGGCTTGGAGCCAATCAACGCACCTCCCCTCGCTGATTGGTAAGACAGGCGGAAACGGCCCAGAACACTAGCGTAAACAATCTGTCAGGACACTTTTACAGCGGCGACCTTCGGTGACACACGGCTCGTTGCTCTTGCGGACGCCGCCTCCGCGGCGCCGGACGCATCCTCGTCCGGTTGCCACCTTCCCTTCATTATTCTGTACAGAACAAATAAAGCATCTTCCTCTTCAACTGGCGTCCCGCTTCTAGCAACTTGGGATATGGCGTGAAGTTTTGGCGTACTGAGCGTACACCATCACCGCTTAGCCGCTATAGTATACAGGGGAGCCGGCTTTTGATGAAAGATTTTACCACCCAATTGTCAAATGAAACAATACAATCAGCACGGTCGACTTAACAACAGACACGGTAAGGAAAACTTTGAGTCAACTACAGCCCACTAAATCCCCTGGTCTGGACGACGTGTTCGCAAAAGCCCTGAATGAATTCTCAGACCAACTGGCCTCTCCGTTAACCAGAATCTTCAGAACTTCGATGGAGACCGAGGTTTTGCCTACCGACTGGGAGAAAGCAAATATAAGACCCATATATAAAGGTGGCGAGAGAACAGCCCCAAATAGTTTCAGACCAGTGAATCCCACTACCATCTGTTGCAAGTTGATGGAAAGAGTAATAAAAAACGGAGCTGATGCGGCACCTCGGAGAAAACAACTTGCTCAGTCTACATCAGCATGGATTTCGAAGCAGTCGATTCTGTCTAACCAACCTCCTAGTATCCATGGAGAGCTGGACGAAATCAATTGACGTGAGCTTATCAGTCGACGCCGTGTACATCGACTTCAAAAAGGCTTTTGACAGTGTTCCACACAGACGACTTATATGTAAACTACGTCAAGTGAGTGTGAATGGAAATTTTTTGAAATGGCTAGCCGATTTTCTTACGGGCAGATCTCAGCGTGTGTGTATCAGAAACGCTAAATCGGAATGGGCATCCGTGCACAGTGGCGGTCCGCAAGAAAGCGTTCTGGGTCCAATTCTGTCCTCAATATATTTGAACGACTGCCTGAACTGTCTGAACTGCGAGCGCGTAATGCTTGCCGACGACCTCAAATTGCAGAAATTAATAGAGAGGCCGGAAGATTCTGTACAGTTACAAGACAATCTGAATCGCTTGCAAAAATGGTGTGATGAGTGGTGTCTTAGCCTCAATCGTAACAAATGCCAACTTATCCGATTACGTTCGTGCAACAGGAGGCCGTTGAGATTTGAATCTCACTACTGCATAGGAGGTCACCAACTCGAATCAGTCAATGAGTTAAGAGACCTCGGTGTGTGGATGACGTCAACTTGCAAACCATCGTCTCACTGCGCCAAGGTATCAAAGAAAGCTATGGGTATTCTAGGCGCGATTAGAAGATCCTTCCACAATTTTGACGAAGAACTTTTCGGCCGAGTATTTAAAGCATACGTTCGACCAATGTCGAGGTATTGTATTCAGGCGAGGTGTCCCTGGACAAAAAAAGATTCTACCCTACTGGAGAACGTACAACGAAGAGCGACCAAGCTAGTCGGCGGATTAAGTAGCTTATCTTATGAGAAACGGCTGGAGAAGCTAAAAATATTTCCTCTCTCTCAAGACAATACAGAGGGGACATGATCATGGCCTTCAGGATCGTCCGAGGGCTAGATTGTGCTCTTCAGTTTGAGGATTTCTTCGAACTTGCGCGGACGACAAATCTCCGAGGGCAGCCATAAAAATTGAAGACGAAATATGCTGAACTCGATTTGCGGGCCAAATTCTTCTCCCACCGGCTGGTTGAGGGATGGAACAAATTGCCGAACTCCGTTGCCATAGCGGAAAACGCTGAGACATTCAAAAGGAGAATGGATAAATTAATGCTTGATGGTCAAACATGTACATGATATCAATGACTGGCATAACTGCCATGTAAATATCTGCATCTTTTTTCCATACGTCTATCTGTCAATATGGTTTTCAAAGCCTCTGCCTCTACCCCTCATATATAATTAATGATATTGAACTCACGCAGCCTGCTCTGTGTACAGAAAACACTTGTTCTCACAGCTCCCTGACATCTGGTGGAATTAAATTATTGTGCGCGGTTACAGTTTCTCTTGAGTCCTTGGCCGCCACAAGACATTTCATGCAGTTGTACTTAAATTCGTTATCGGCACGGATTGTGATAATAGAGACGCAAATGGTGTTAAGTCAATGGTACAAAAAGACGGCATAAATATGAAGAGATTTATTCACCATACCAATCTAATGAAGTTTAGGAAAATTTACGAAATCTCAAGCGTCGCCCGGCTAGCTCAGTCGGTAGAGCACGAGACTCTTAATCTCGGGGTCGTGGGTTCGAGCCCCACGTTGGGCGTCCTTTTTCCCTCAACACGCTTCAATTACACTGGCCAAAGGACCAGAGAACTCTCGCAACCGCAAGTGTTCTGCCAATGACTGCGTTGCAGAACTGTAACTAACCTGGCTGGAATGTAACGCCCCTGGACTGGGACAGAGTGTTCGAATGAGGTGACACTTTTTGCGCGAGGACCTAGGGTGGAGATGGCGTAGTCGCGTGTCGGTAAAGATAACCGGTGTCCCTCCCTCTCTCTTCTGCCGATCCCTTTCCCCCTCGTCGTACCGTAACGCAACGTATCGTCCGAACCGCTCGCCTCCTCGTTACATCGGCACTCCTTCGACCCTTCCCTGCAGTTGCCCCCAGCGCTGCGCTCCCCACCGGTTTACTAGCTGGCACGTTGGCATCGTCTCTCCACCCAGACAGGTCATTCTACCGATGTAACCGTCCTACTTGTACTATTAACGATTATTATACGATTCCCCGTGCAACCTCGTATTATTACACTTTATCTCTTATTCGACATGCCTTCTTCTTCTGTGTATGGATGTGTATCAAGGAATGCTAACAGCTCCGTTCAGGTCTATTCCGGCCAAGAGTCCTTCTCGGCGTTTCCTTAATCCGGTGTGTGCTACCCTTGACGTCCTCGGCCGCTACAGGAAGAGGCAACTTCTACCTGTGCTTTCAGTGCGGTAAATATTTACTACTGGCTGCCTGTTGGCGGTTTGTGAATATTACGCGATTATTCCGCAGTGTCTGATGGATTTCAGCTCAAACGTGAGGACACTAAACGCAAATACAGAACGGGTCTATAGTCTCCCTGATGGTAGCCTCCAATTGGAGGTGGAGGTCGTTCAGATGGAAGTGTGAACTTTATGATGGTAAAGCCCACCTGCGCTAGGCTTCGCGTACGCCCGACTCCTTTTCCGGTACATTTGGCGTTGACTGACCGTCTTCGTACGTAGGGACATGAAGTGACTCAGACGTAGAAGAACTGTCGTTAACGTACACAGTTGAGCGATCAGAATCGTAAGGGACAACGACGCGTCGTAAAGCCCACTTTCGCAAACTTTCACGAGGGCTTGGATCTTCCTCCTCAACTTCTGCCGTTATACCAACTTCTTCGTCCGTAGGCTCACTCGTACCCTGCGAGGAAGAAGAGCATTCATTTGCCATAGAAGTTGAGGACATAGAATCATCCGTGTCGCTTTCCGACCAGCTACCGGATGATGTGTCCGACGACGGCATTTCACCCATCTCTTCGTTGATTCTTCGTATAATTTCTTCTGCTTCCTTAAGTGCTTGGCGCCGTATTTTACGCCTATTAACAGGAGTAAACATTATTGTGAGAAAAATAGGAGGACGGAGAACACAAAGAAGAGTGATATAAGGCAAAGACAGGCAATGACAGCGTTGACTGTGACACGGCGTGCGCAGTGCAGCGTGAGAAAGAAAAAAGTGACACCGGCGAGAGCCGGAGGGCTATCGGCCGCCGAGGCTAATCGATAATCAAGTGCAAGTATGCGCGGCCGCTTGCGCCCTTCGCGTCGCCGGCGCTCCCGACCCAGGAACCAATAACATCACGAGCAGGCTAAAGAGCCACTACCCCCCTAGAGTACGTTAGCTGGCGGCGAGCTCGATTGCTATTAGGGCGACATCTCCCTCACCTTTCCATTGATTCTTTGTGTTATTTTTCTGTGTTTTCTTACGTGCCTGACGTCGGCAACTTCGACTGTTAACACAATTCAACATGCTAGTAACCAAAAGGCAAAAACTGTTAGGCAAAAGGGGTCAATTAGGCAACGAGAGCGTCAAGGCGGATACGGGGTGCGCACTGCAGCGTGAGAGAGAGAGAGAGAGAGAGAGAGAGAGAGAGAGAGAGCAGGAAGTGGCGCGAGGAAGGATGTGGGTATCCTGCTAGCACCAGTCCCGTCTTGCCCCGTCGAGCCTCCGTGGCCAGAGGGGGCTGGGCCCCGTATTGGCGGGACTACGGACGGGGATATACGGGGCTGTGGACGCAATAGCCCCGTTCATCCCCGTCCTCGAAAAAAAAAACGCGCAGCTAGCTTGCGGCGAGCTCGCGTATGCAAGGGGTGACGGGGCTTCGGCGAGCTCGTTATTTGATTCGCTGTTATGTCGCTGCGCTGGCGTTGCGAAGGCCTCAGACGACCGCGTGCATTTGCGTTGGCTTATCGATTGGCTCCGGAGCTCAGTAGTGTGATGTCCCTTTATCTGAACAGGGTTGTTTGCATGATGTGACACTTTTGGAGCGCGGATCCAAAATGAAGTTGGTGTGACCGCCTGTCGGCGAAAAGAATCGGTGTTCTTTCCTCGCATCCCCGCCGATCCCTTTGCCACCGTCCCCGCAACGACCTACCGTATTTTCCCGCTGTACGCCGGCATTTCCCACGGCCTCACCCCACAGTTGCTGACAGCGCAGCATTCTAGTTGGTTTTGCTGTCTAACTGTTGTGTTGGTGTCACCTCTCTATCCAGACGGATAATCATTTCTGCTGTATTTCTCATCCCCCTTGTGTCGTTTTATATTCCCTTATGTATTTATCCCGCTACTCTTAGCATACGTATTGCGGTCCACTTGACTTCTTCTACCGCCAGTTTGGATGAGACTGATGACCCGTTTGACGAATTTCATCAGATCAGATTAGACAGGAATTATATCCATCGCTCCAGGTTACCACATATGTGCTACCCACAACGTCCTCGGCCGCTACGATAGTACCCATGCTCTTCCCCGCCACACTTCCTGCCCTCTCACGTTTGAGTTCGCACGCCGTGCCAGCCTCGACGTTCTCGTCGTCTAGTTGACCCCTTTTTTACCTAAAGGTTTTTGCCTTTTATTTACTAGCATGTTGAATTGTGTTAACAGTCGAAGTCGCCGACGTCACGCACGTAAGAAAACACAGAAAAATAATACAAAGTATCAGCGGAAGGGTGAGGGAAATGTCGTCGTCGGAGACATCATCTTCGAGTTTGTCAGATATCTTCACTTACGATTCTGATTGCTCAACTCTGTACGTTGACGACAGTTCTTCTACGTCTGAGTCACTTCATGTCTCTACATACGAAGACGGTCAGTCAACGCCAAATGTACCGGAAAAGGTGTCGGGCTTACTTGAAGCCTTGCTCAGGTGAGCTTTATAATCATAAACGTCACACTTCCATCTGAATGACCTCTACCTCCAATTGGAGACTACCATCAGGGGGAGGATAGATCCGTTCTTCATTTGCGTTATAAACACATCAGCCAGAGCCGGTAACCGCGTAGCATTCAGGACCTCTCAACAATCGTGTTTTTGCACTGTAATAAACCTGCCTGGGACGCGGGAATTTCAACTAAATCGTCTACGTTACAAGGAGCGTGGTACGAATATTCCGTTTTGACAGTATAAATATCCGAGGGAAGGCGGCCGGAGCTAGAGCGTCAGGGTTCTTCCAGGGTGTGTCCTCAGTCGCATTTATTGTGCCTCGTCATTCATGAATGTCGGAAGATTGGATTTCACCGCTGTGATTGAGAGACGATTTTGAAAGTGAAACGAACAGAGGTCAGTCGCCGATGTTCTAAGTAATTTAGTTTTATTGTGCACTGTAGCCTTTAATATTCAGGAAGAAGACGACACCTTGGGACCCTGTTGCCCTAATAGCATGTCGGCGTCGACTGGATGTTGCATGGATATCGAGATATGTTTATCGCTCGCATATCGACTCTATTCACTTTGTTCGTATACCCCTGATACCGAGATGTCGATATTGAGCGATGCGTGCGAAGAAAGGACACTACGCTATACGCACCAAATAAATATTTAACGTATACCCCCCCTCCCCCAGCCCCCGCCCCCTCTGATCTGGCGGGGCTGAGTTGGACTGCGAGGTGGCTTTCCGGAGCTGTGGTCAGGGCTGTGGCGTGGCATACAACCACCAGCCCCTTCTATCCCCGCCAGGGGGACGCCTCCTCGTTAGTTTTGGCACCCCTTGACAACATCGATTTCCGCGTGAACAGCGCATCCCCGCGAGTCATTTCTATAGGACCGTGGCCTACTCTTGTACAGTACGATCCGTTCTTTTACTGAACGATTTCATTTAAAGTAAATGGAAAACATTATTACCGCTAGCAGATGAATTCGTTTTGAACAAATGCAGACAAATATCTTAATTCTTCCTGAAATATTGTCAGTTGCTTCTTGATTGGTCCTGGTGTAGGCTGCGAAAGTCTACTCTAGACGCCGGAGGAACTGAGGGTGTTTTCACCATTTCGTGGTCTACAAATGGCTAAACGTTCGTATGCTTGCTGTATTACCGGCGGCGGCGCTGAACAAGTGCCTAGCGGCTTCTTAGGCAGACGTTAGTCTGCGGGCAAATCTACGATGGGTAAGATAAGATAGCACATGGCCAGGTTGACGAACGTAAGCGAGCCGGTGAGCACTTCTTTTTCCTCACAGCTACCTGATCCTGAAGCCCCTGCCCGTTTGCGTGGGCTCCCAACTGGAGAGGTCGGACGTCTGTTCGGCCTTCTGTGCCACACGGCGGGCCCTCTCCGGAGTGAGTTCGTCCTTCAAAACTATCGCCGGATAAATCGGAGTGCCTTTTGGTGGCTGCTCGCTTCGCTCTGACACTGCCTGTCTGTCTTTGGCAAAAGAATGTCCTTCTCGTTGTAGGACCATGCATTGGCCACGACTGTAACTGTATTTTCCTTCAAAACTTAACTACTGAATACGCCTGAGTGAAAATGTGCAGTCTCACTCGTGCATTCAGCAGATATAGTCATTGGAAAATGGTGCATCAATAAGAATCACTGTACAGAAAATGTGTGCAAAAGCGCGATGCGGAAAAATCATCGTCACTTCTAAAGGAACCCTTTTTAAAGATGATGTCAGCTAGTGAACCAACAGAGGTACCGTTGCGTAGAACGGATGCTTTGTAAATAAACAATGTGGAGAAAGGGAAAGATACAGTAAACAAGCTACTGCAGTCAGCAAAAGATCGGCACCGTCCTTGAGTGCGAATTCGGCCGGCAAACACTGACTGCACATCTCTGTGGAGATGTTGAATCAGGCGGGCAACTTAGGCGGGCAACTTAGGCGGCAGTCGCCGCAAATGTAGCAGCTTCCGCATGACGACAAGACAAACAAGGTGCATATAATCGACTGGAAATTAGTGTACTATATCGACAGATGAATCCTCAAAAGGCGATCTGCCCTTGTGATGTAGGTCTTGGGCTCGCAGTCCAAAAGACCTGTCGTCCTCTAACGGACCACTGAACGTGGAGGACGTCATGCGGTTAGCAAGGGGGTCCCCATATAAAAGCACCTGCACTGATTGCTGTTATCTGTACGAAACAGCATATCTTTCTTCTTATATAATATCCCACACAATTCGTTCACGGCCGTTGGTGTATGCATCTAACTTATTTTACCGGGTATTCGCCGGTGGCGAGGTATCTGAAACCATAACCGAACCCACAAATATCGAAAGACCAAAAAACGGTATTTTTCGAAATATTTGTTAAGAATTTATTGGAAAATAAGAAAAAATTATCAAAAATGTCATCTTCCACGGGATCGTCCCGTGGAAGTTAGGGAATTGCAAGATATGTGTGCAGTTAGCTAACCATTAACTTTTACTTTTGCTTGACCTATTTGAGGCCTTTTTCTGGCAGCGTTGGGGGAGCACTTCAGTCGTTTTGTGAATGCGGGTTCCACTCTGTCCCACTTTATGTAAATGTCTGCGTGGAGTAACTTCCAGGAGAAAAAGCAGTAACTCACCCGTAATCAGTTCGTATAGCTTCGAAGTGCAAAGGGCCACCTTCTTCCCACGACCCCTGAAGTTCACGTTAGAACAGGAAGAGAATTCGAATTGGATCTGCTTTACCGTGCTGCGGAGAACCCCAAAGTATTCTACGATTACTCAAGACAGAGCATACGAAACAAGCACTCAATACCACTGCTAAGGACTGCTGAAAAAGAAAATCTCATTGAAGATAAAGCGAAAGCTGGTCACCTTTCAGATTTTTTCGGTCTGTTTTTAGTAAGAAGTCTGGATTCAACCCTACCGCGAGTGACTTTGGAGAGGCTGCAATTATTGAGACTGTTCAGTTCACCGAGGGCATGATTATAATGGAGCCGATGAAGCTAAAGAAATCAATATCACCAGGCTGCGGTGAGATTCTGGCGAAGATTTTGAAGGAACTCGCTGGTGAGTTGGCTAAACCACACTCTATGCTTTTCCATACATCCTTTGAGG